CATCGCTACCGCAAATTCTCCACCCATCATCTGGCTCCACTTATAGTCGGAAAACATCCACACCGACAAACAACAGTCCAAGTCCTCGTAGGCCTCGATCTGCTGGTACTGGAGCCGAGGTACCAGAGCAGGAACCTACCAGTTCACCACCAGGCCGAACTGGGGTGAGGAGGTTGGGGAGCAAGTACTCACTGATGAATATCTTCAAGAAAGGGCAGTCGGGAGAGTCTTCAATGACTGATAGTTCGCAGTCCCTGCTCAGCATATCTTCCCCGCCGTCTGGTTCGATGACCGCATTGCCCACATCATCCTCCCCCACCCAACCAGGTCCATTATCCAATCTTCTTTCATCTGTGGATTCGACCGGCTCTCCGGGTCGACCTGCATATCGATTCCACAGGGGAAGCGATGCATCGACACGGACGACATCCACGCCACAGCAAAATCTTCATCGCCAGGCTTCGGGGACGATGGGGCCACCACCACCACCGCGACCATCGGCAGTCGATCTACACAACGCCTTGGCCCAAGAGCGCCAAGGACGAGAGCAACAGCATCAGACACGGGATCGTTCGCGGTCAACGGGAAGTGGTGCCAGGTTCATCCAAGAGGATCCCAGCCTCAGTCCCAGTACAGGCTCAAGCCCTTTGCAAAGACTTGGCCTCCTTCGTGCAAGCGGGCACCGGCGGGATCGATCCGGCTCCGGTGGCAGTCTGGGAACGGACTCCAGTCCAGGCTATCGGGGAGGTGCGGTCTTTGACGACGACGTTGTGGTTGTCGCGGGAGAGGCTAACATTGGGGATGCGGGGAAACAAGCCGCTCGCCCGAGTATCCTAAAGGCCCACAGCCGCACATCCTCTAGTGGTCACATACCTGGAACAGCGTCGGGTTTCCGTGCGCTCCGCTTTGATTCTTCGTCGAGCGTCAGTAGTGGAGCTCGTCGAGAAGGGGATTCGGAGGCCTTGAGGCCAACACCTGGACTAAAGACGAGCACCAGTGCGGGGTCGCTTAGGAAATACAGGTCCCTGGGTACACCGGAACCTCGACTGAGCGAAGAGGACCTTTCACTAGACTCCGCCCCTGCTGGCGCCCAGCACTCAGAAGATGGGGCCGAGGATGAGGGCGAGAAGGATGTGGAGGAGAATGCTGAGCACGAAGAGTACGGCCAGCCCCTGGATCAAGGGGACAGCCCGACTATGGACCCCACTTTCTCCAAATCCCCACGAGCGGTGTTGCTTTCGAGAGAGCGAGGCCTGTCATTCGCGTCATCCCAATCGTCCCTTTCTCCGATTATGTCGAATGAGGTCCATGAATCGTCGCTCATGAATGCCGAATTCCCCTTCAGCATCAACAAGCCGCCGATTTACCCAGATGAGGTTGAACCTGCAGCGCCTGCCCAGGTTCTGCTTCGTGTCCCTTCACCAGGCGATAACCGCAGTCGGGGCGACTCTGTCAGCAGTACGAGCACCACCGATAGTCGCAACAATCCGCAGCTCAGCATTGGTGGCACGACTAGTGGAAGTGGGAGTGACACCGTCACGACACCTTGGCTCTCGTCTCCAGGGCGGGACGAATTTCTCGAAGTCGCGTCAGATTCCAGCCCGGCCCGAAATCTTGGGGGCTTGATTATCGAGCACGAGTCCGCCGAGCCTTCAGACCTCAAAACGAACGACACAAACGGGGTCACGACGCATGTCCTGAGCGAACGACGCCATCATATCCCTCCCGAGATAAATATTAGCTCGATATCTTCACACGCCCAGGCGGAAGCGTTGGTACAGAAAGCCCAACAAGATATCCTCGAGATGGCGCACAGCAGTGGGCTGACGCCCACCACTGGTAGTACGGGGCGCTCGCCGTTGAGTGCGAGACTAGCCGCTTATGGGGAGAGTCTGGCCTTGGAGAGGAAGTTGCGAGAAGAGAAGGAAGAACAGGAACGGAGAGCTCTTGGCGATCGCAGCGAGATACCACTTCACGGCGAACCTTTTGTGGGTAATGGTGCATTCACCACGACAAATACAGGTAGGCGTAATGGAGTGGAACGTCAGCACAGCTTGGAGCACAGGCCGAGGAGACCGAAGCTGACGTCTAGGACAAAAGACCCGAAACGACCCTCGACTGCTGAAGGACGTAAGTGTCTGCGTTGTTTTATTTACCGTTGAATCTGACATGTCGTGACTTGCAGTTTCTCCCAGATCCAGTGATCTGGCTGGCCGCTTTTACCAGACATCTCAGTCAGCGTCTAGGTTCGGGACTTCACCAACCAGTAACAGCCTCGCCGAGCAGGACACCGCATCCTCAGATGAACAAGATTCTACCACCACCCCTTCGAAATCCGCAACTCTTCCAACCCCCCTCACGAAACGGGAGTCCAGCCCTGGACCGGCGCGCGCCACTCGTTCTCGCACTCCGCTTCCCGACCGTGACGACGGACAGCTTAGTCGCATCAGTTCATTGGAATGCCCCGATACTGATACTGAGCTCGGCCCGTCTCTACTGCGCGTCTCAACCGCCCCTCATCCACCTACCCGCGGCAAGACTGCGACTAAATTAACACGAATGGGCTTCCCGCCAATGGAGCAAGCCCGTACGGTGCCCCCAGGAAACAAACGGTTCGGTGCTATCAGATCCCTCGTACAGACACTGAAAGGCAAAACATGATACCCCCTCCATTCATTCATTCATTGTTGTAACAACATCCATCACTCTCATTCTGCACATTCTCTGCCCTTATCTTGTGTCGTCTTCACCTGGTGTATTTTTGTACCTTATACGCTGTCATTTCCTTCCTCATCGTGCTTTCTTGTCTACCGCATTATTGCATTATTGTGTTCGTTATCTCCACACTTTGTGATGGTTTTTGCACAACAAGGTATATTTTAGGGGGATCTTGTTTAGTCATTGTGGTGCTCACTGCTGAACGACATTGGACTTTGCCTAACAGTCCCGGAAGTTTTTGGGCGGGCGCAGCGCAGAACCTTCAAAAGAACGAATGGGTCAGGACAAATGCCATTGCTCAGCACGTACCACTGGTGATGTTGTTCAGGGAGCAGTGCAGTAGTAATGAAGACGAGCGGTATCCAACGACGACGGCAGCGGCGACGATAAACCACATATTGCAAAGCAATACCCAGGCGAAGAGCAACAGGTTCTCCTGGTCCAGATAATTTTAGATCAGAAGTATAGTACGAAGGACCATCGTCGCAGGTGCCCAGGTCATAAATATGGATTGGGCACTGTTCATGTTTCCGCTGAGCCGAGCGCGAGTGCATCCACCGCACGTGCACTGCCATGGGCAGCAGGTAGCGTCAGCGAATACTGCCGCCGTGGTGTTGAGAGCATACAGTCCGACGAGCGTACTCCCGTTGAACACGTTCACCAGTAAGTGATATCGCTCAGAGCGGGATCAACCTTGAGAATATAAAGGTGCCATGGGAGTAGTCGAAGGGCGAGGGAGCGAGCGCAAATCTGAGTAGTGATGTTGCTCAAGCCAGGAACGACGATGATGAACGTCCGACGATGGCGAGTTTGAAGATGACGGTAGCCCATATATGACAGAGAAAGACAAGGCGGGGTGGCTGACGACGTCGGAGTCCGAAGAGAGTATCGATGATCCAAGACAAGTGGCCGAGCGCGACTCCGAACAGGCGTCCGGCGGCAAGCATGGCCCCGAAGAATACATGGCTGACGACGTAGGGGCAGCGATTAATATTGGCCAAGGCGGGTTCGGCGATGATGATGACCAACGTCGGTGAGTAGCAGTGACGCTAGAGGAAGTAAGAACCAGGCATCCAGAGGCGGCAAGCATGACTCCGGATAGGTGGCTGAGTCGACGACGCAGGGTCAGTAGTATCGCCCAAGGCGGGATCGACGATGACGAGTGACTTGGCAATGAACATCAATGAACAGGTATCAGTGACGACGTCGCTGGTACCCAGCAGGCGGACAATACACCAGTACTGTAGCATCACCCAAGGCGGAGAGTAGCATCAGGGAAAAGTGGTAACGACAAAGCGCGAGGTGGGTGATGACGCCCAGACGACGCCCAGTAGTATCGTGATTCGTTCACCTTGAAGGCGGAAGGAAGTGACGGCGATGACGGGCGACCAACGACGATGGCGAATATGTATCCGGTAGCCGAAAAAGAACAGAAGTAAGGGAGAACAAATGAGGAGGCTGACGACATACCAGAATATCGCCCAAGGCAGAGAGCAGCATCGACAACGAGTGTATCCAACGGCGGCGAGCGGCCTCCGAACAGGTATCCCACAGAGACCAGAAAGCAATGAGTCTGTGGAGTCACTGAGAGGAGCAAGAAAGCGTAAGGGACGGCGAAAAGGGGTGATGGAGGTCGGGGGTGGTGGAGGTAGTGGGAAAACGGACGAAGCGAATGGCTGACCTGCTTATATAGCTTGTGGCGCATATGTTTGGTTCACTTTGGCACGTGGGCCACTTCAAAATTACTCTCTCGTCGTTTGGTTATCTGTTCCGTCCAAGTTTACACACATGGGGGAGGTAAGGATTGTGTGCTGTAGAAAGGCATGAAGAAACCCTGATTTATGACATGCAGACGTATTTCTATTTGCGTCACAAACTTGGGTCGTAGTACATACTATCCGAGTCGAACTTGAACGACGAAATGACAGCTTTTGGTGCAGCCGTCGCCCGTAACAGCAACGCACACAGCGCGAGCTCGCCAGGCAGTGACGTATCCGTAGCACGAGCATCTTCGCGTCAACGGTTCAACGGTCAACAAGTCCCAAAGCTCCTTGATCGGTTGACCGACCATCTCTCTCAGGATGCATCGCCAGGAAAGATGGGTCACGTAGGAGTGGGGGTGTTCACGCAGGACAATCCCAGAAGAAGCAGAAGTAACTGGCCAGAAGAACTGTGGGAAGCCAGAGTGGCGTCGCATGATGGGGAGATACCTACGAGCACCAGCATGGAAATTTCGATGTCTTGAATGTCCCCGACGTCGTAGGGGGCAGAGAGCAATAAAATGACAACTGTGAGATTCGAACTCACGCCCCGAAAGACTAGATAGAAGAGAAGCAATTCCTGATTCTAGCGCCTTAGACCGCTCGGCCAAGTTGCCATGCAGCCTTACATTCACGCGATCTTCATCAGTGTCTCGACCACGAAGATCTGAAGTGAACCAAAAACATGACTGCCGGTGAAAGTGGCGGGTATCCAGAGAAGTTGACCGGCGTGAGGGGTTCATCGGCACCAGAGGATAAAGCCAAGACCATGATGGTATGGCGGTTAAATAGTCTTGTCACCAGAAGGCAGCTGAATTGCTGGAGGAAACGCCGAGAACTGAAGAGAAGAAAATGCCAGCAAAGACGCGACAGCGCGAGGAGTTGGACGCGCTTGAGTGAATCAGGAATCTGTGAACAAAACATGGAGGTTGTGGAAGAGCAGCAGCAGTGTGACGTGACTTGGTGTGATCCCATCGTTTGAGTGTCACGGCGTTGTTTTGAGCAACTTCAGGTCCTTTCTCTACTTGGCCCCTCAGGCCTCAGGCCTCAACATTCAATCGCCCATTTTTCTCGAAGCTACAATCCTGTAGGCTTAGTGAAGACTCATGTGCAGGAGAGAAGCTCATGCCTGAGCGCTTGATTTATCTTATCGCCTCTGCCACTCGTCCGGTATCATCAACTACATCTTGGTTCCTCCCGCATCCTCTTCCCATCCCTCTTCTTCAACTCTGTGCTTCTCTGTTTTTTGGATGCCCCCTCTCCTATGGGCGAACGGGTTTGTGATCTACATGGAATATCATGTTGGTATATACCGTATGTGGCACAAACCCTTCTCGAGCTATCCTTTTACCCCGTTTTCTTTCTCATGCGCGGTAGTCCGCTTTGATCTCGACTTGAACCCTACCACACACAATGGCTCGTTCGTCGGCATTCTGTGCCCACCGCTGATTAGTACAGGTACCTCATCATGTCATCTCCTTGATTTCTTATTCTCAACAATAGCTCGCCGCAGAGCTACCGCGAACGTCTTCTACCCCGCTATCAGCTCCGTAGATGACCTCGTCAAAAGCGCACATGACGCACGCATGCGCAACTTCCTCAAGTCCCTTCATCTCTTATATACCTTTATTGAATACTAGTCACAGCCGTGCCTCTTTTGCCGGGTGCGCAGCCCATGCCTCAACGAGCAGAGATGCTCGAAAGGTCTCTCATGTCCGTCGAATGCCTCTCGTGGGACAACGAGAAGCTCATCCAGAATACTCACGACCGAGACCGCGCGCATCTGCTCGTGTGGTACGCCCGCGACATTGTCAGCGACATGGTGCATAGGTACATCTGCGCACGGACCCGAAGGAAGGCGCGAGGAGGCAGGAGAGGGGCATGTGCAGGATGAGGTGGTGGCGCCCGCGTCGAGGTCCTGGGTCGCACGGGTTCACTCAACGGGCCAATTGTCAATCAGTGATGACATGCCATTGTTTTTGGAGGTACATACACGTCACCTGCAAGCCCGAACGAGTCGGAACACAATGAGGCTTGTGCTGGCTTGTGATTACTTGAAATCGTTAAATGAAGGATAGCTGCCGCGCCAAGTGACCACAGACCCATGTCCCTAGATTTGAGAATGCATGCGAAGAAAGGCAAGGAAGAGCAGAGCACTTCGATATGTAGTGCCAGTCATTCATGCCTGACAGAAAAGAACCGCAATGCACGATCTCCATGGTGGCGCAATTTTCCATTTCAGCAACGAATCTAGGGTTAGGGCGTCGGCCATACCGAAAGCCGGAGCCGCCCCAAAAGTGAGCTGTCGCGTAACCACGTTTACTCCCCGAGGCACTCCCGAGGCACTGTTCAAAATTTGACGCGCACTTGCGCCCGCCGTCCGCTATAAAATGTCTGTGCTTTCGACACCATTATCCCCAAAGATGTCCCTTGAACGCTTGACCAGCCTCGCCAACGCGCTTCGCCCAGTTTTAAAGGACAACTTCAGCCTTGTCGTGCGATATGTCCCCACTGTCGCGAAATACCTGCTTTTTCTGCTCTTCCTCGTGAATGTCCGCTCGTGGCCGCTTGCGTGGCACAGTAAGTTCTCCCAGATGTTGGATGTTTGAACGTCAGACTCATTGGCTGTCTCGTCCGTATTGTAGTCCGCGTGTTCAGGCCGGTGTTTCGAATCAAGCTGGAGCACAAACTGTTGCAATGGCGGACGATGCTCATGTCCCGCACAAGGAAGATACAAGCAGAAGACGAGTGGTTGGACTCTATCACTGCCGTCGGCATGGACCCTTTCAACTTCCCGGTCACATACAACTCATGGGCTAGTGAGTACAAATCCATGACACTGTAATCGATATGCTTGCTGATCAGCATAGGCATTGACGACAGCGACTTCAATGGTCATTTGAGCAATTCAAGCTACGCCAAAGTGAGGAGCTACACCCTGCCGTCGCCTCCTCATGTCCTGACGTTCGCGGCCCTGTATTAGACCATGGATTCAGCGCGTTTCAAGGCTGCGATTGCGATGTTCCCGATGTTCTTCCGCGCTGGAGGGTGGATAGCTTTGGCAGGTGCGTATAGGCCTCTGAAACTTGGTGATTTGAAGTCCCTCTCACAACCCGTACCCAGCCACCCACTACAATTTCGTCCGGGAAATCCCCATGCTTGCGAACTACGAGGTCAGATTGACTATTGGACCTTGGGACCAGAAATGGGTGTGTGACGACCCCCTCCCACAACGGAACGCTGCTAATTCACCCCTAGATCTATGTCATTGCGAAATTCGTTACGAAGCCCAAATCAAAATCCAAGAAATCCGACAAACCCTCCGAACAACCCGCCTCAGTCGCCTCGAGCTCCGACAACGAAAACTCCCTCTTCAATGCCTCTCTGCGCACTCCCGCCGATATCATATCCACCACTGGCTCCCCCATCCCACCCAGCGAAACGCCCACCTCTATACAACAAGCTGACACCTCCCGTTCTCTCAAAGCCGTTGCCGCGTCATTAGCCGCAGAACCAGAAGCCGACGGCGCGACTCTCCACACCATCGTCGTCTCGCAATGTTGCTTCAAAATGGGTCGCATCACTGTCCCCCCCGCACTGGTCCTTGCTATCAACGGTTTCAGCGTGCCTTCCACCAACGCTTCAGCGGCACCGTACTCCCGTACGAACCCGCCGCCACACTGGGCCAGGGCGAAGGCTGTTATGTCGCGCCCGAGGGGTGGGAGCACACGGGCGCTGCAGAATCTTTTGAAAGGTGGGTGGAGGGACGTACCGCTGGAGGATCGGTGGTGGGACCGCGCGATGGGTGGATCGGTGGAGGAGCGCAGAAAGCAAAGGCTCGAGGTCGTACAAGCGCTTGGCCTCGGTATGAGTGGTGTAAGGAACTTATAAAGTTTAAGGTCAGGATTGACTGCTGTAGAGGCTTTTTTGCATTCCGTTTCATCTTATTTACGTTATATCTTTGCCTTAGACTAGACACTGGAGTACACTATCTATTATCGGTCATTAATGTGACCCCCTTCAAGTGATCTGTTCCAGTGACGCTGTTCCACGGCTACCAGCAAGCAGGTAGTCCCTCTTTCTCTTTCCTCACCATCGAGCTGCCACTATACATGTCGCGATATGCGCGAACTTCATCAAGCGCGGCAGTATAGGATCATGACTTTGGCGAACAGAATTGCTTCAAATTTGTCAAGTGTCAATAGTTCGAATGTGTGCTCATTGTGCTGCAGGCGCATGCATTCGCGATCTGTTGTCATTGACGTCGCAAGCCGCAAAATGTCATGTGGATTCAGAGTTTTGAACAGCTGAATTGTGCGTAGCAAGGATTTTCCCGGGGAGAGACGTGGCAGGACGTGGCTATATGGTCGAAAACGCCAATCCCTGGACCGCAAACACACAAAAACATTGCGATTAGATCGCAAAAATTGTAGATCTTGTCCACATTGATCTATAGTGACTCACTGATATTCATCTGGAGACCACCATCTACACCTCTCCGCGCCCATAGACGAAGATGGCGCCGATTCATATCGACGAAACAGCTGGCTCAGATACCACGGGCACCGGAACCGCCGATCAACCTTATCAATCCCTCGGGTTCGCTGTGTTCACTCATGGTGTGACGGATCCATTCCTGACGCGTAAAGATGCTTCTGGGACATACGAGGAGCCCACCCAATCCTCCTTGAAGAAGGCTAAGAAAACTGCCGAGGGGTTGGAGAAGAAGAAGAAGAAGCAAGAAGAGCTTGCTGCACGCGAGGCCAAGGAGCAGGGTGAGGCGAAGGAAAAGCGAGAGAGGCTGCTGGAGGAAAGCAAGAAGATTGTTCTGGAGGAGGACGCTTCGTTGCCCAAGGCCCCCAAGGTTCGTTTCTACGGTCGATCTCGAACTTACCAGTTGCTAACGCTCCCTTGATCAATAGTCAAAAATCACCCATCTCACAGAACTGCGAGGCAAGCGTGTTCGCGTGTCCGGATGGGTGCATCGTCTGCGTGACCAAAAGGACATCATCTTCTTGGTTGTCAGAGATGGCACAGGCTACCTTCAGGCTATTCTATCCGGCAAAGTCGTATGTGATAATCATCCCGCCGTTCGATTGGAACGCTAATTCTATGACAGGCTACCACATACGAAGCTCTCACTCTTACCTTGGAATCTACTGTCGAAGTCATCGGTACCCTCCAGGCAGTCCCTGAAGGAAAGCAGGCACCGGGTGGCCATGAACTTATCGTTGACTACTGGCGTGTCCTCGGCGCTGCTCCTGGTGCGGAGGACGCGTTTACCAACAGAGTAAACGAGGTATGTGCAGCAAACTATGTAGTAACACAATTAAGCTAAATCACCAATGTAGAAATCAGATCCTCATATCCAGGCCGACTTGCGGCATCTTGTCCTTCGCGGAGAGACAGCTTCCAGCGTCCTTCGCCTTCGCGCCTACCTCCTGAGTGCATTCCGCGAATCCATGACATCTCACCAGATCCTCGAGGTGACCCCGCCATGCCTGGTGCAGACGCAGGTCGAGGGTGGCGCTACCCTTTTCAAGCTCGACTATTACGGACAACCTGCATTCCTTACGCAGAGCTCCCAGCTGTACCTGGAAACTGTTTTACCCAGTCT